ACTGGGAGCCAGGCCTCACGGGTCCCACTCCACCCCTCTGGGCACGATGCCACACTGGCTCTTTCGCCATAATAGGAGGCTCTCCAGGCCAAGTGAGAGCTTTTCACTTCCCTGAAGAATTCTCTCTTCGTTTTCTTAAACTGTGGTAAGATCCTGCCCCTGCTAGTGGGTTATCTCCAATTTCCTCAATGCTATACCAGTTAGGGATTTTATAAGCAACATTACAAATAAATGATTACAACCAGGGGACCTGGCCCAGATGCACTCCAGGTTGGATTGTGGCCTACAGTTCCCATAACTTGGCTGGGACGTATGAGAAATATATGACAGGACGTAAATGGCAAAAGTATTGAGATTTTACCGTTGGACACCACCCTGAGGGCTACTCTTATAACCAACATGCAGTGTAAAAATGTTTCTATAAGCCATCACCAGTTGTTGGATTATACTGTATTTTATTCTTTTCATTCACTGTAATGTGGAAGAGAACACTCATAGTTGAGACATTACAAAGGATATAGTTTTGATACGCTGCACTTTTGCACAATCCATTTTGCTTCCAAAGATCCCCTTGCTCATTCATACTGAGCACTCTTGAAAATAACTTGCTCACAATGTCCCGGTGTTCATAGGCACGCAAATGCAGACCTTCCAAGCACTCTTGGAGGAAACTGATTATCTTGATCCTTTTCAGTCCGGCTTCAGACCCGGGTACAGTACTGAATCTGCCTTGGTCGCCCTGTACGACGACCTGTGCAGGGAGAAGGACAGGGGGAGTACATCCCTGTTGGTTCTTCTGGACCTCTCGGTGGCTTTCGATACCATCGACCATGGTATCCTTCTGGATAGACTTGTGGGATTGGGGGTTGGAGGCACTGCTTTGCAGTGGTTCCGCTCCTATCTCGACGGTCGATTCCAGAAGGTAGTGCTGGGGAACCATGTCTCTACGTCATGGCAGCTATACCATGGGGTACCACAGGGCTCCATTCTATCCCCTCTGCTATTTAACATCTATATGAAACCGCTGGGAGAGGTCATCAGGAGGTGTGGGCTGCGGAATCATCAATACGCTGATGATACCCAGCTTTACCTCTCGTTCTCCACTAATCCAGGTGAGGCAGTGGCTGTGCTGAACCGGTGCTTGGCCGAGGTAAGGGAATGGATGAGGGCCAATAAACTGAAACTCAACCCAGACAAGACGGAGGTCCTGTTGGTTGGCAGATCGGGTTTCGGAGAGGGTGGATTTGACCTGGTCCTGAATGGTGCAACACTCCCGCTTAGGGATAAGGTCCGCAGCTTAGGAGTACTCCTCAACCCGGAGCTCTCTTTGGAAGCTCAGGTGACAGCGGTAGCGAGGAACGCCTTCCTTCAGCTTCGGCTGATTAATCAGCTGCGCCCCTACCTGGAATACGACTGCCTGGCGACGGTGACACACGCGCTGGTGACTTCCCGCCTAGACTTCTGTAACGCGCTTTACGCGGGGCTTCCCCTGAAGACAGTCCGAACACTTCAATTGGTGCAAAATAGAGCTGCCAGGTTGCTGACGGGGACGGGGCGTTATGCTCACATGACTCCAGTCCTCCATCAGCTTCACTGGCTTCCCATTGAAGCCCGGGCCCAATTCAAGGTGTTGGTGATGACCTACAAAGCCCTAAACGGCTTGGGTCCTGGCTACCTGAACGAGCGCTTACGTCCGTATATGCCCGACCGCCCTTTGAGATCTGTGGGAGAGTCCCTTCTCCGGGAACCCTCCATGAAAGAAATTAGGAGAGTAAGTACCCGGAGGAGGGCTTTCTCTGCGGTGGCGCCCAACCTATGGAATTCACTCCCCAAAGAGGTCCGCCTGGCACCGTCGTTACTGGTTTTTCGGCGCCAGGTAAAGACCTTTTTATTTAAACGTCATTTCAATTGTTAAAACATATGATCTGGCCTGGGCAACTTCTTCTTCCTTCTCTTTCTCCTCCTATATTTTTATTTTATACTGATAATTTTAATTTTGTATTTGTAAATCAATGTATTTTTTGTATTGTTATATTTAATGGTAATTTATTATGTACTATTGTATTTCAATGTATTTTATCATGTTGTAAGCCGCCCCGAGGTTTCGGCAAGGGGCGGCATAGAAATGTTATAATAATAATAATAATAATAATAATAATAATAATAATAATAATGAACACCACTGGGGTTTTTCAGAAGCTGCTGTTCAAAATCTTATACAGCTCCAACCCAATACCTAATGCCGCTTTCTCCCAGATTTTTACCTTTCTTTCTGATTGCCGAGCACTGTGCAGAGGGTGTAACTGTGTTCATGACAAGCATGCTCAGGTTTCGTTCCCCAGGTTGCAGTCTTTCATTTAGTCAACATACTTATGTTTATCTCTTTGTAGCATTCCTTTATTTTTGAAGAGTATACATCTGTTTCGCCGATTACACTAAATAATGTAGATGCACATGAGGGAGGTAAGAACAGACTCAACAATTGTCTTCATACTGTGCTTTGTAAACAGCTGTGGGCTGTATTCAGCCGCCTATGGAATTGTGCTGTAGCTGGGGAAGAACAAGAAGGGATATCCATACAGATTGGAAAACTCTGGGACCATGCGGAATGCCATCTGGCCGGTTCTGCTTCTAGCTAGCCAGGTGACCAACACATTGCTGTACATCAGGCAGTTATGAATTCAGAATATGGTGTGGTGACCTCAGGATTTGAATTGTAGCACCAAGTTCTCCCATTTCTGAAAGTTTTCATAGCATTGATGAACTGGCAGTTCAGATTTTTTTTTAAATCTGAAGCTAATGCATTTTTACAGTTGATTCTATGACAGGTAGGCAATTTGTGACTCTCCTGGCCTTTTGACCAGCAAGTCAAGTTTAGCCAGCATAGCCAATGGTCAAGTTGATGGGAACTGTAGGACAAAACATCTACAGAGGTACAAGTTGACTTTACATACCTCCTGTAAGTGTAGTTAGCGGTTTGGACCGGGGCCAGTTCTGCCACAGATGCACATCAAACACTGGCCAAGGTAAAACGGGACTCCTTTTGTGTCAGTCCTCTTTCCACATCTTTCCCTTTCAGTGCATGCCACATCCAAGGATGAGCATGCTCAATGAGCACTGATTCCCCGCTTAGTTTGCTCAGCTGAATGTGCGATGCTGATGTATATCACCTCAGAGAAGAACTTGCTTCTCAAGGGAGGCATCCAGCATATCCTGTTCAGCTCAAAATCGCCAGACAAGTATCTGTGAAGCTGCTCTAGGTTTCTATTGGATGAGTTTTGGTTCTCATTCATCCCCAAAGCTGTTTCGAAAGGCCATTCTTGCCCTCTCTTTACAAGGCTACGGTGTCTTCCAGACCCTATCAACATGTCACTGAAAAGGCTCAGCTGTTACTGTCCCATGTTACTTACGCCATGTGGATCATGAGCCAGGATGGCTGCACCAAATGCAGCCATGCAGACGACCTGTTGTTCTCCGTGATGCCTGCAATGTCTTTACAAGGGCATTTGGTCGCCTGTAGACCATCTGGAGAATCTTCTAGGCAGAAAGGTGATTAAAGTTTTATAAGCATATAAAATTAGGCTCAAGCTCAGCGATTTGTCCCAGTTTCTATTCCTGAGACAATTTTGACAAGACAGATGGAGCTCCTGGTCAAGGGAAAGGCAGATCAGGGAACAGGGATCTAGCTTGTGATCGATGGGGTTACACTACTTAGGTTTGTAGCTGGGACATGCTGCTAGTTTCAGGACCATGTTCACATGGTTGTGGGAACAGTGCCCACTCCTGGACGTGCCACATCTGGCCCTGGGGAGACATCTGGTGGTTCTGTTCTGCTCAGGTGCCAGTAATATGCTGTATGTGGGGCTATCTTTGAAAAGTGTTTGGAAGCGCCAGCCACTCCAAAATGTTGTTGCCAGTCTATTGACCAGGTCAGCTATAAGGAGTGTATAAATCCCTTGCTACAAAGCTTCGGTGGTCTGTTCCAAAGACATAGAGCAAGGTGCTGGTTTTGATCTATGGAGTTTGTTGTGTGCCGGTGGGGAGAACAGCACACAAAAGACCACATGCTAGCCTTTTCTGTCCACAAGTTCTCCCCCTGGATAGAGACACAACGGTGTATTTGCTGCTCACATAAGGGCTGACACTGTGGGTTAAGAACTCCTTAACATTATGTCTGATGTATATTTGAGAGAATGCGGTTTGGAGGAATCTGGGTGTTTAAATCCTTTAATTCTGGGGCAACCAAGTTCAATTCCCAATCCATTTTTGAACTATAGTGCACAAAGAGACTGGAGCAGAGAGAACAGGAAAGGGAAATAGCCTCAAACATTAAAAAATGTTCTATCACCTGCTGCACGCATGCACTTCACTGCATGAAAATGCATGAAAGCGAGTGTTGGAGGATGTGGCAGGCTGCACCACTTTCCTCGCGGCTCTTACCATCCCCGTGACCTCCTTCCTTTCCCATCCTATCCTTTCTCTGCTGATTGTCCTGCAAGGTTTATTTATTGTAAGAATCATGGAAGCAACTTTCACAAATGGCTGGTTACCAGAAGTTACTCCAAGTCAAGGCAAGCTTCAAAACTGGGTTGAGAATAGAAATAATACCTTTACTTTTTGATTTTGTATTGTTCATGTGGTACTGTATTATATTGCTCCAAGTCACTTATACAATATATATAGCATTTTGAAATCCTTTTGGGGTATGGGGCTGGGAATGAAGCCATGGTCTATAATTTTCAAGAAATAGAGATTCAGGTTTCCCTTCCACATAATAAAGCAAAATAGGCCTATTACTGCTCTCACAGCAAATAAATATATTTCCCCCCAAAGAAAACAGAACCTGTCCCATTAAATGGCCAGTGACTAAAAGGGATCTGATCAATGAGCCACACCTGAACCAACCCTTCCAAAAATGTACAGAAACAACCACTAGAATCGATGCATCAAAAAGACGCTGCATTTTCAACAAAAGAAGCCATACAACAAAGGAAACAAACTGGTTGAAAAGAAGGCCTTTAATTAAAGAAAGCAAACGAATCTAACTTCCAAACTAGGTGACATACGAACTCTTAAATGTCATTAAAGGCACAGTGCTAGCAAGTTTAGACAGGAAAAAAGGCCTCTTTCTGCCTAAGCTTGCATGGAATAGCATCCTAAATGCCCTCCTTAGACATGTCCTTCTTAAGTTAGGTTATTAGTTCTACTCATCTCCACTTTTGATTAAATATATCCCTTTACACTGGAGATGAAGCCGTGTGGTACAATCCCTAATGTCTATTACGGGGCAACCTGAAAGAGGTTTTTTCACCAGAATATCCTTCATGGGTCACACTGAATGCATTTCATCCTTCTGGGGTGTTCTACTTCCTACCCATATGGCAAGGGTTACTGACAGGACACAGACAATGCAAGGGAATGCTTAAGCATGCACACTGTTAGCCTTTTAAACCATGCCAGGCGACATGGGTTAGCTTGAAGCCCCTGACTTCACACAGCGTCTCTTCGGCAGGATTTTCACCTGAGACTGGGGCAGCTGGAACAGGCACCACATGTCATCTGACATGCCCTGCTGGTTAAATCCAGTGCTTCACAGCACTGAGGGCTGCACCAAAAGTTTGGAGTGCGGGATGAGTTCCTTTATGGGCCATCAGGAGAGAGCCCGCCTCTGCGATGAAGCCTGCTTCCTGCAGTTGTTTCGTTATTTCTGCCACATCCCAGCGTCCCTCCTCTTGCTTGGCCAGCAGATGGTCAACCAGGTGAGCATAGAAGACAGTTGATGCGCACTTCACCACTAATTTCTCATCCAGCAGCAGTGAAAGGAGTTCAGAATCACAGTTGGAAGCATCAACCTACATGGAAGGAAAACACACACACACACACACACACACACAGAGCAAATATTACTAAAGTTGCCCAGCACAGTTTTAATTTTGAAACCCAATGTCTCCTTGTTTAGAATAAGATGAAGTAGTTAGTGCTGTAACTGCTATGATGCTGTAGTCTTTTAACGCCTCTCCCTTCTAAAAAGTATAAAGCATTTCAGTTAAGCACATGAGTGACTGAACGTAAAACCTTGCATTCAGGTCTGCCCCATGTTTGTGTCTGATACAACAAATTGTATTTGGTTTGTTGAGAACCAGAGTGTTGGACGGGGGACCCAGGAGATCTGGGTTCCAGTCCTCACTTGGCCAGGAAGCTCACTAGGTGACTCAGGGCCCTCACCTCACAGGGTTGTTGTGAGGATAAAATGAAGTGAGTAATCCACTCTGGGTTCCTCACAAGAGGAAAATAGCAGGATATATCTGGCTTCAACTTTACACTGCTGCTTTCAGTACAAGCATGGCCAGCTTATCCTATTGCTGGAATTTATCCAGTCCTTAATGGTATGGTAAACAGAAAACCAGGGAGACATGCTCCAATACGTGTATTCTATATATCTTATTTGATAACTGATGTAGCAAGGCACTTCAGTAGAATACCATGCTGTTTAATAGCATGAAACCCTTCATGCTTTCAACTTCCAGATAAAAACTAAATATATAGGCCACTAAAAGTACATATAAAAGTCTACCCACACCAAAAATGCTATAGAGAAACTTACTCTTCCACAAGTGCATCTCTAGCAGATTAAACACTAATGATACAATTGCGTTTAGCAAGATGAATGGCTGGTCGCCTAGGATGTGTACGGTATTTGGAGGGGAGAGAGCGCAAGCTGGAATGAGAGAGAGTGCTAGCATTGTTGGACATCGGCATGTGGTAACATTCTGATGGCTGATGCAGCAGGAAGAACCGTTCATGAGTGCAGCCGAAGTGTCCCCTAGTTGTCAAAAAGGCATCAGTGGCACACGGTGGCTCCAAGTGGAAATTATTTGCTTTGGAACTACGGCCTACCCTACCATCATGGGCCTCTGCAGACAATGACAATGGTACACAAAGAAGAATGGATCCCTGTGGGGGGCTGGGTGGTTGACATCCCCCTGGCAAGGACAGCAGGCTCCGAAGGCTTAGGGGGGCAGTATGAGTCCTGACAAAGGGACAAAGAGCCTGTAAGTCAAGGGAGCGGTGAGGCCAAGCAGGACCTGCTCTGTAGGGGCAACAGCCTTCCCAGGCCCAAGCGTCCTGCAAGAGGCCTCCGAGTGCCGACGCGCTGTGCCACACCACCTTCCGAAGCTGCTGCTCAGCATCTCCACGAACAACACAGGAAGGAGGAGAAAGATCCAAGATCTGGACCACCTCTCCCCTCCATCTCTGAGTCCTTGGGAATCAACGAGGCCAGTCACTTTTGGACGGCCCTGTGGCTATTCAGTCCCCTACAACCACAGGAACTGTCCAGGTTATTACTGGGAACAGTGGGATAAATTCAAAAGAAAACCAAGAAGACAGACCACTGCAAAGGGCGGAAAGCATCTGACAGATCTTCATCAACTAGTCAGTAGTTATTATTTTTTAAAATATATATATAAATTCTATAGTGTCCAGTGTTCAAAGCTCTCTGAGGGGTATCCAACAATTGAAAACAAAAACACAGCCTGTTAAATATGATTAGGGTTCTTAACTGACGAAGTTAAGAGAAGTAACATGCAATAGATACATAAAATACTGCTGTATAAAATAAAATTTCAAACCAAAATGCAGCAGTGCAAAGATTTAAAGTACAATAAAACATTAAAAGTAACAGAATCTAAAAGATTATTGTGCTTGGGAAAATAAGGTTCCACCTGACCCTGAAAGGACCAAATACAGATACCAGGTGAGCCACTTTGGAGAGCTTGTTCCACAACCAGGTTGTCACAATGCAGAAGGCCATCCGCTTAATACCAGCCAGCTAGCTCACTTGCTTCAGCAGAGCCTCCTCCTGGAAGACCTTTGGAGATGACCTTGGGGTCTGTGCAGATGTATACAGGAGGAGAAGATCCTTCAGGTAACCTGTTTCCAAGCCATTTGGGGCTTTGAATGTTGGTATCAGAGTATGATCTGTTACTGCTTCTGGATCTCTCATCAGCTTTGGATGCCAGTGACTCCAAAGTATTGTCCTAGACTACCTGCATGAGTTGGGAGTGGAGACATTTTTCTACAGTGGTTCAAGTGGTGCTTGTGTGGTCACTGGTAGAGCATTGAGCACCTTGGCCCCGTGACAGCTGACTTTTGGGTGCTGTAGATATTACCTCACCCCCATTGTTAATTAAATTTATATAAATATTCTCAAGAGCAGTACCCAACTTATGGGGGAAAATCCCTTGAACAGTTCTGGAGGCAGAAAATTTAGCATCTCAGACTTTCCCAGGCTTATAATTAAATTAACCATGCTACTCCATTTTGTTGCTTCTCCACTGATCTTTACTGTTGTTGTTATTATTGTAATTGAAGTGTTTTAAGGATTGTATTTTAAATATAATTTTAACATTGATGTCAATATTTATACGAAAACTGATTGGGGATTTAAATATAATTAATATTATCAAAATAGTACAAATCACAGAATCACAGAATAGTAGACTTGGAAGGGGGCAGAGGGGCTGATCCCTGCTCAGTGCAGGACTCCAAGTTAAACCAACTCTCCCAGATGGCTGTCCAGTTTCATCTTGAATGCCTCTAGTGTGGGAGAGTCCACAACCTCCTCAGGTCACTGGCTCCATTCAAATGAAGAAGTAAATAAATCTTTTCATTCATTTCCCCTCATTTTTTTCACTGCAATCAGCTACTGAGACTATCACTTTGGTTACCTTTCATTCCATTGAAAATTTGAAAATTATTTTTGCTAGGTGAGGGCAGGACAGCCTTCTCTGCATTTTAAGAACCCACAGCAACTAGATCTCTATGTTCATAACTCCATAATATAAATATATGCAATAAAATATTTATTTGAAGGCATAATGGGAACAAATCCCAAGTTACTGAAGGAAAGACGGCCATATTCCTGCTAAGATGCACAAGGAGGAAGGTGAGCCAAGCTGCACTGGTGCTGCTGTTCTGAAAACCTGGATTTGCTTTTTTCCCTCCACCTGAGTGCTGCAGGATTTGGCTGTTCGGTTATTTGAGAAGCCTCACCTGGTGAAAGAGGCAGTTGGGAAGGCTCACAGGTAAACACGCAGGGCCTTGGAGTGGCTGGCCACTTTGTGGCCGGCGTCTACTCTTCTCAGGGCTCAGGCAGTAGTTTTCTGTGAGCAGCAGAGAGAAGGATGAGCAGGGAACATACACCATTGAGGGGAGAACTGTGTTGTAACAACCCTGCTTGTGGATTATCCTTCCTTTTGTGAGTTTGCAGCCCTCTCCAGCTTTGTGCCCCTACTTGCAGAGAAGCTGCTCACAGCCAGGCTGCTCCCACATGGTGAGTGTACCGTGCGGTTGGTTCTTATTCAACAAGCTTACTCTGAAGGGGGAATGATCAAATATTATCCTTTATGAGGAAGTACAGGAATACAGTGTGCGAGCACATGCGCGCACACATATGTGCATGCTGAACGGAATACAAAATAAGGCTTAAAATATTCATGTATCACTCAAGATATTAAAGTATTAATATGCAAATGACAATAGAACTCTAAATCCCACAAGGCCTCCACTGCGCCGTTTTTGACAAACATCTTTAGTGTGAAAAAAGGAAAGGAAAAAGGTAACACTTAATTTTTAAGGTTCCTGGCAAGAAAACAGCCATTCATCTTAGGTTTGATTTTATACATTTCTCCAAAGCAAACAGTAATCACTGTAATCAGCTGAATATATTTTAAAAAGCTAGTTAAACAATGAAGGCAGAGGATTGATTTAAATGGGGTTTTCAGCTCATTATTCAGTTGTTAAGGGAATGCATTTGCCTTCAAACTCTCTTGCCTGACACGATTTGATGGAACGTCTCGGGGGTGGGGGGATGTAAGCAGCCCACATGCTGTATTTGCTCAACACGGCTATTAACTACAGATGGCATTCAGATGAGCATCCAGCTGGGATCTGCCTACACCGCACATGCAGGGAGCGCGGACCTATGCCTTGCACGGATCCTCTGAAATGAGCTCCTGCCTGCAATCCAGCTCACATGACTTGTGTCAGTGTGGCCCTAAACCAGGTAGGAGAATGTTGTAGGAGAATGAACCACAGCAGGCATGTGGCTCATGTGCCGCTACTCCCCCAGCACTGCCACCCAAAGGAGTTCTGGAGTTTTCACTTCCATTGCTGTCGGTCCTGCTGCCTCAAGCTGAAGCACTGCCGTGAGTGGGATCAAGCCAACTTCGCCTTCTTACTAGCCATAGTTAAGATTACTCACAGTTAGGATTCGGCAGAGACACCAAGGTTATTCTCAAATGGAAGTAGAAATTCTAGTCTCCTTGCTGCCACCTCTCCAAGACCGAGAAGAGAGGGGAAGTGCTTGGGCTGGAGCCACGCTGCAGCTCATTCACACTGTGCTAAGCCCCAGGGAAGGCTAACTGGGCCTCTGACCTATCCATATACCACTGAGTTGCTTACGCATTTGACCAGGTACAGAATTGCCAGTGCATTTTTGATCAGCAAGTCCAGAGGTGGGACAGGTGCACCAAGTGGAGCAGGAGGACAGAATCCAACATGCAGATTTTACCTAGTTGTCTAAAACTGCCCTTGAGAAATGCATCCAGATTTCCACAGATTTTCCATTTGAAGCCACGGGTTGTCTCCAGCACTGGCTGTGCCCCAGTGGAACAGAATCTTTTGCTGCAACAGATTTTCCCTTGCAAACCCTGCTGAATGACACCAGATCTGTTCTGTGGCATTGGACAACCTTGCAGCGAGGTTTGGGGCTCTGCGTGGTGGGGGCAGGGGAAACAAGGAGAGGTCCTGCTGCATGAGCAAAAGTCTGCTCATGCAATACTGGATTTAACCATATATCACAGACACCGCAGGAAAAAGGGAGGCAGGTAGATAAGAATAGTGATGGCAGCATTAGTTTCATTGATAAGGCACCAGGAAGCACAATCATTTGGGATGTATAGCAATTTGCTGTATCTACAGTATGGATAATCCCACCCTCACCAAGGAAACAGAGTAGATTAGATTCTGCATGTAGATTACACGCGCACACACGTGCACACACACACACCCCCAGCAAGAGCAGCGTATGGCAAATAGCCCTGACCCAGCCCCAGCAGCAATGGGCATATGGAGTGCCCACTACAGCACCACGCAAGGCATGTTTCTGCACAGCAAGAGGGAAATGTTTTGCGCTATAATTGAAGTTCACTTATTTAACCAGGTTAATGTGAATGACTCACACAGAGATAAATCTGTTCCTGACATGAAAAGGCAAGGCGTAAGAACAAAGGTGCTATTGATAAATCAAACACACTTTCTCAAAAAAAGAAATGGGATAAAGAAGTTTGCTCAGGAAGCTGTGCTCATGTAGGAGAAAAAGAATTAAGTTTGGAAACTGCGTAATTGTTATTTTAGCTTATTAACATAAGATCAGTATAACAAATCCATGTGGCTAGACTGAGCCGTATTTTCTAAATGCTTTCTTAGTGTTTTATATTTATAAATTTGATTGGAAAGCAAGCCAACTGTGTCAAACAATACCTTCAATATTTGAGGAGTGAATACAAAATTCTGTGCGAAGTGGTCTATTGCTAGCAGTGATTTTTATGATAGCTTGAGATCCAAGCAATCTTTAATTTTTGGCTTGAAAACTCCTGGCAGATCCTCGTTCAGATGTGGCACTTTACAAATGGCTGAAAGATGGTGATGGCCATACGAGATGAAGTTGAATAAAAAGGTCCATCCAACTAATTACTACAATGTCCCTGACCCTGCTTTGTCTCCACTGAATCCAGGCATTGGCACCTCTGCTGCTGATCTTCCACAGAGATCAGCAGTCTACGGTCCTCTAATAGTATGCGCGAAGGACCGACACCATCAGTTCCTTCAATGATAATGACAATGCAGTGAAAGCCTTGACAGGGTTAACCCAAGTTTAAGTGGTTCAGCTGGAACTTCAGCTGTCAAGGATGAGGGAGTGTTCTGCACGTCCAGACTTATTGCTGAAGATGGCACAAGGACATCTGGCTAGAGGCATTAAAGCTTGGACATTATTGGTGTGACGTGCTAGCATCTAGGGAAAGTGAGGCCCCTTGGATTGGTGGGCTGGCATTACCACATTGCCAGGAGAGGAGGGCTAAAATGTCCCTGGCAATTCCAACATGATACCTGTTGGAACACTTTTCCCAACCACAATCCACTTGGAAACTATGAGCAATTTCTGGGGCCTTCCTTTGTGTGCCCACTCTAAGGGAAGCGCAGACAGTGGTAACATGGGAGAAGGCTTTCTTGCGGTGGCCCCCTCCCCACGGCATCCTGTCTAGAGCCAAACTTGTCATCTTTTTGGTACCAGGGTAAGATGGCCCTTAATGCTGAGTCCTTTGAAGATTAACTTGGCTACCTAGGGGCTTGAGGGAAATAGATGTTTTTTACAGAGTCATTGCTGTATGTTTTTACTTTTTAAAATTTTATGGTATTTTATTGCATTTTATTGTTTTTCTAGATTGTTGTAAACTGCCCAGAGAGCTTTGGCTATAGGGTGGTATATAAATATAAAATAATATTAAAATTTTCATATATTGCTATCATTACATTTATATGTGACCTTTTCCCTTTTGCAAAGAACTCAAAGTCTATTTGAGTTCTACTATATTCAATTAATAAGAATATAAGTCTATTATATTCATCAGGCTAGATGATACAAAAAGCAGAGGTGGGACACTCTATGCCCCCAGCCAAAAATAGAAATATTAGGCCAGATGTTGTGGCTAAAACAGTTTCAAGGGGGAGATTGAATGAATCTATCACTGCAAGGTGCTACATGCATCAGATTACATTTGGAGCAAGGAAGCAATGGCCAACACCAATTCTGAAAGCATTAATGCTGTATCTTGCTTTGGGTGGGACATAAAAGGCCCTGGATAGGCAGAGAGTGGCAGTAATGAGACAAATGGCAGGTTTCACAGGCTGTCACTGAAATATTAAGTTGATGCTGTAAAATTATTTACTACTGTATGAGTAACTGTCCCTGTTTTAGTTTGATATTTTAGATTAGAATTTTAGCATTCCTTGATATCTTACGTTTTTTTTCTTTTAAAGGCAGGATAAACTTGTTCTCACAAAACAGCCTTTAACAGAAGGAACTTTGGCCTGGGTCCATGCAGACCAGACAAGTCTCTTGTGCTTGATGTGGAATTATCCCAAGCATTATCCTAGGAAGTACTGTATATCTTAATCATGGGCTCCTGATGTAGCCAAGCTTAAAATAGTAGCAACAACCTGGTGGGTCTTTTCCTTGAGAGAAGACACCCTTAAAAGCAAACCTTTTGTCCTGCTGCCACAGACAATCCACTTAAACAAGCAACGCTAATGCTCTTTCAATTATTCACAGCAAATATTCATTGTTAAAAATGGCTTAGATATTTCTGATGAGGGGAAAGGCAGAATTGGCACTTTGCATAAGTTTATGCAGTACTGCCTGGGTTCCGTAGTTTCAGAGAGGCTTGAAACAGAAGCCAGCCCCACTATTGCCGACAGAAAGCTCTGAATCTCTAGTATCAGCACTTCCCAACATCATCCTTTTCAATGTAAACATCCATAAAGCTGTCAGCATCATACGACAAATGGCTAAATAATACATTGGATCAGCAAGCGAGTGCTGCATTTCCTCACATACAGCCCTTGTTGTGAGCTGCACTAGCTCTGTATCAGAGAAATCAATAGGCTCTGATTTTGCTTTCCAGATGCGCGTAATGATTCTCCTGCTTAATGTAAATAGGGACGGGAAAACAAAGCAGCAGTGCCTCTGAACACACAAGCAAGCCAACTCAATCTGCTCCCCCTCACAAACACCCAGCAAGGACATATTACTCAAACAACTGGTAGCATAACTGTAAGTTATACCAGCAATTAACGCAGGATATGGCGGTTTCTTCTTTCTGGCTCTGAAGGAGGCTGGGAGTATTCGACTCGCCTTTTTAGCTGGGCTCCCTTCCTTTGTTGCCGTGTTTGGAAAGGCTTGCCTCCTTCTTGAGTAAAATGCAAAGCAAGGCTTGCTGCATTCTTCTCCTTCCCATAGTCTGGATAGAGGGAGAGAACCAGCCAATCGCATTCTTTGGGGCATATAATGTAAGGGGTTGATGAACGGCAGGAGAATTAGAACCTTGCAGCCTGTATCCAAAGCCCGGCGCCACACAGAGGAGGATTCTCCAAGGCTTGACAAGTGGGTGATAATCCAGCCCAGCGGCTGCATGGGGGATACCTTCACAAATCACCTGGGTGATGCCACAGTGGGCAGCAGCAACGTGCCTACGCTTTGTAAGGCTTCTAGTGTCAGAAGCCTGGAGACAACCGGCTCCCTAGAATACCTGGAAGCTCTACAGCAGAAGTTGGCAACCCAGTGCCCTTCAGATCCAGCTTTCATTACGCTTGACCGTGGGCCTTACTGGCTGGGTGGAAGTACGAAACTTCTGGCTGTTCATCCTTGTCCCATATCCTTATATACTATGGTGCACGGAACACAAATGGTGAACTCTGGCTCATTCAAGAAGATCTGGATATGTCTTTGGCTACTTTTCTGTACAAGTGCCATGGTTATGTGACCTATCCAAGCCAAAGGTCTCTCAACTTGAAAGTGTGGTAGGGAGAAGGCATCAGTCCGATCTTCACCTTGGCTGCCTTACTTTCAATATGCTGTCATATCGAAGATAACAGTAATAATAATTTTAGTAGTTTCATATAGGACTGGCATGTATGGTAGTTTGCAGAGCATAAGACGACAGGTTTCTGCCTCAAGGAAGGAGAGTAAACTCAAAAAATGGGAAAGAAAGTAGAAGAAAGGGGGGAAATATGTGATTATTTCAGTTACAGGAACTTAGGGTGAGTTACACACTGAGCTGATTATTATTATTATTCATTATATTTATATACTGCCCAATAGATGCAGCTTTCTGGATGGTTCGTAACTGTTACAGGATGTCAACTTGTTATCTGTATAATCTTTGACTGGGAAGGATCACCTAAAAGATTAAGGAAACAGGAGGGACAGTGAAGGAGATGCAGGGGTTAGAAATGGCGGAGGGTTTTTGGTTTTCCAGATGCCTATTTCCCATCTAAAAACACAAACATTGCAATATTCAGGACATCTCTAAGGAAGATCTGATAAAAAAAGTAATAACAAAGCAATTGTACTTATTTGCTTCTATTAAAAATGATCACCACATATTGTAATGTCAAACTTTTCATTTGGGACAGTATTACTAAGCTTCACATTAGTGGAATACTTCTGCCAAATACATAAGGAAAGATCTGCAAACAGAATAACAGTACAGATTTCTCAGGTTTGGTGCATAAGCCAAGACAACAACTAAAGGATGAATTATATAGAAAAGCTACCTTGTTGTTTTGCTAAATAACTAGCTGGACTCATGATGAAGATGAGGATGAGGATGACGAAGGTAATGATACGGCAGATTGTTCATTTTAATCACCTTGAGGACATAAGAAGATCTGCCAAGCCCCATGGCTCTGCAGATTAGACACACAAAAGCTTTGGAAAGCCATAATAATGACAACATACTCAAGAGGCCTGCCTTCCTACATGAAGATAAAAGAGCTAATTTATTGCCTGAAATGAAGAAGGATGGTTAATTCAACTGTGCATACCTGGGCAATTGCTGCTATCTGCTCCAACGCCACAGCATGAAGATCTTGATCTCTGCTTTCCAGAAGCAGCTTCAAGGATGGCAGCAGAAGGGACTGGTTAAGTAGCAGCATACAGAGTTCTTTGATGCACTGAAAACCAAAAGAGAAAGCTTGTATAGTCAGGCTAACGCATCAGCCAACCACACTCAAGTGCAGGAAGGTCATGCATTGAGAGTAAATAAATGAAAGCCAACCCTTTTAAAGACAGACAGACATCCAAAGCGAGCAACCACCTTCTAGGGAAAATTCAGCCTGTTTGCAAAATATAAAGAGGAAAAAATGAGTAAAAGAGATGCTCGTTACACTGCAACTAGGAATTCCTCTTACGGAATCTTTATCTAGAAGAGTCAAGACACTCATGCCTTGGTGAGGAGGTTGCTTCCCTCCGTGTGTCAAGGGAGAACATTGCAAAGAGGCTTACAATGCCGCGAACGATTCTTTAAAGGAAGGTATATCTAAATGTCGCATGTTGGTGACCTTAGAGCTAGTATATGCCACAGCCACCCTCTGGTTATACTTCTGCTGCCACCGTAATCGTGACCACCACCTCCTTCCCTGCTGGGGGTGAATGAAACACCCTGCAGCTGGCAGCCCGAGATGGGAAAAGACTGTACACAGCTGCAAGACGCTCAATTCCCCTGCTTGTTCCCCTTCCCTCTCGCTGCACTGTCACCTCCTCTTCCTGCTGGAAAAGAAAACATCCCACAGCCAAACAGCTGAATGGAAGCAGGATCTGGAGAACACATCAAGCCATAATTTTGGATTCTGGCAAACATGATCTAGTGTAAGGGGCTTTAAAAAATCTACCTTTAAACTCCTGATGTCAATGAAAAGGAGCAAACTGGGCTCTAAATGTTTAGCAAGATTAAAGACACGAAGTCCTCTTTGAGACGCACAAGTAGCCAAGCAACAGTGGCAGGCACTTTCATAAACATGGGAGGAACATTAATGCTAATAGATAATGCCGTATGTCTGTGCACATGTGCTTGTTCAACCTAATGGCTGCATCAGATACTGGGGCATGGTTGTGTGGCATGAAGTGCCTAGAAGCCATGTGATCCATGCCAACCTGGACTACTCCTTTAGTTTGTCTCTCTGGTCTGCTTTCCCAGTTGTAATACAACTACCCTTTTTACCCCTCTAAACCCCTCCTCTGTAACAGGTTCAGCTCCAGGCCAATGTACCGGTAGACAACTCATGAATGTCATTGTGAACCCAAGCTGGGCAACCCCACCTGCGCCTTTTAAGAAATCCAGTTAACAATTAAGTAGTATCTTGCAGGGGACAGGAGAGTATGCAGAATTCCATTCCTTGTGAGTTGGGGATAAAATACAATGCAGTATATTAAATAGGCATTCACATTTGCTGGCTTCTGGATCAACATCAAACTCTGATTAAGCAGGAGGGGAGTATGCTCCAAAGGACTTTCTGAAAGCTGGCTCTCAGTTCGTTGACCACACTATGCCTGCATCAGCATGATGTATACTGTCTTAGACACATCTTTGAATCTGGTCTAGGTATAATCCCCAGAGATTGTCACTAGAGCACACTGGTTGTATATTCATTTCTGTTCCCCCACTCTCAGGTACAAGGATGTTGTCTGAGTTTCTTTGGGAACAAGTTTTATAGTTCTGTCAAGCCTCTTATGATGCTGCTTCTTCACTTAAGGTTTTGATGGGTTTGCAGATATAAAATGTTACTGGCACTATAAAACCGCTGCTTCACCCAGGCTGTGCATTCGAACAGCCATCAGCATTTATTTTTGCAAACACGGTGCACAGGGCAATAAATTATGCTTTCCAGACACACAGAAAAGGTGTAAAAATATACAATGCTCAATGTTTCTTTATTCTATAAGGCTTTTGTTGTTGTGGTGGTTTGCCAGAAATAAATCTGAAAATGAGAAGTTAAGAGCTCTGACAAAGCTCGATACTTTTAATTTTACCAGATCATATAGTACATTTAATCCTGCTGTTTGCTTATTTTCAATATTAGCTTGCACTTGGGAGTACAGCTGGTCAGTGAAAGACTTGGATCTTGTATTGACAAAGCAGCAATAAAGCACTCATAGTGTAAGAAGAGCCAAAGCAGTATATATTACAACTTAGTTTTACATTCTTCAGCTACAACTGGTAAAGGTTTGAAGCTTCGAGCATCACAGTGGGGGGAGATCAGAAAAAAAATCACTCTTTTAGCTTTGATCTTCATGCCTCCATACCAACAGAAATGAAAGAAAAATGGGAAACAAGAAGAAGGGGGAATCATTCCCAGATTTGTGGAATGCCGCCTTAAAAAGACAACTTAAAAACCTAAAATACACAGAACGCCAAAGGGGAGTGGCCATCTGTCCTCCCAAAATGCTCAGTGAGGAGCCAAGGTGCTCAGAGGTCACCAGGAGATACGGAATACTGAGTACTGCTAGTGGGGGGGGGGGGACATGAGCAGGGCAAGGGCATGTTTGGGCCCAAGGAGCTTCCAGTACCCTGGAGCTGGACGTGGCTGGCTGGCTGACAACCTGAACATACCCCTTTTTACCCATACAAAGGAAGAAGGTGCAACTGTGCCCACATGAACAGAGAGGGATGTAGCTCAGTGGAAGAACCCATGCTTTGCATACAGAAGGTCCTAGTTTTTGCCCTTGGCACCCTCAGTTAAAAGGATTCAGGGAGCAAGGCTAGAAAAGGACTGCTGCACATCCTGGAGGATGGAAGGCTGCCCAGAGGAGCCCCGTGGAACCAGGTGCATGAATTTGGGTGCGCATCTGGGAGCCCTCAACTGCCATGCATGACAAGCTGCCCGAGATCACAGCTGTACCAAGGCTTAAGTTCTCAGTGAAGCTGGTATAAGAGCAAGTCTCAGTGCAAATGAATGGCAGTCACCCAGCAGCAGTGGCCAACAAAGAGAGGGAGAAGTGCTGAGCCCTCAATTAAAACAGAAACATTTCAGAGCTCCCTTACTAAAAGCTTCTGGTGCTAAACGAGGGCAAGAAAGCCACTGCTGAGTTCACTGTCCAGGTAAACAGGTTCTCCTCTCGCAAGGATTCTAGTCAGGTGAACTTACCTCTGCTGACAGCGTGTGCTGTGTCTCATATATGGAACGGCAGGTTTTCAGAATCTCACTCCCGATGTGCTCCTTATTCTCCTGCGGGCATTTCATAAGCATCACTGTTCCCAATTTCACCCAAGGATTACTACTTGGGCATGCTCTACAATGCAGGCAAAAGGATTCTTGTGAGGATCAAAAGCAGACAGATCAATTGAACAACAAGCAGCGACTGTGAGGATGTATCTGCCAGCTTGCACATGAAAGTTCACCTTTTGACAACACGTACTTGAGAGCTAAAAAGAACCCATTTCTTTACAAAATGGGAACGATCACTGTCTTCCAGCCATAAGGAACAGGACTGTGGAAGCAAAATAACTTACGGAGTTAACTCTAAATTCCTGTCCTTCCTCAACAGAAACTATCTTGAAAGGACAATGGTAGAGAAAGGGAGGAGCAAAGTCTCATGCACATGAATTCCCATGAATCCAAGGGGGAATGAGGCAATTTACATGTGTACTGATATACCAGATGGACCTGAAAATGGGGGTGGGGCAGGGATAGAGTGCAGATTTTTAAACTGCTCTGACAAAGTAGCTGAGTCAATGCGAGAATGCTGATCGTTGAAACACTGACGTTTTGTTTTGCCAAAAGCATTTACGGAAAGAAAATAGCATATACCAACCCCTAATCTCTTCACTGAGAGACTATTCTAGAAGCTATTCCTAAAAGCTATGAGGAATAACAGATGGAGAGATGCTTTTCTAAGGAAAGAGTCCAAAGGGAGTCCAAAGGCAGAACTTGGACAGTTAAATAGAAAACGGGGTCCTTCCATTTCCAGTGGAAAAGGATGATATGTCCAGAGAGGGAGACAAAAGGTATGCCTGGGGCAAATATAGTCATCTCTGGATTGGCCAAGGTCAGAGCCCCATGGTATAAGGAAGGAAACGTCTCAAGAGATGGCAGCAGACATGGCAGGGAACAAGAAAAACATGTGCGATGGGGGGGGGGACCTGAAGGGTTGATGCTCTCTCTGGCTGCACAAAGCAGTGGGATGATACAAGTAGGAGAACTATGGTCCTGGAAACAAGTGCATGGGGCCAGGGAAGGGGAGCGGGAGAATGAGACAAGGTCTCAAGAAATGGACTGTCAGCTAAGAAAAATCTGGGTGGATCTTGCAGCTACAAGGCAGATGGGCTCCCCATGCAGGGTACTGCTGCCCAAAAGAGTGTTGAGTGACTGGTCTCAAGGGCCATCATGCATTTCAAGAGGAAGCACAGATGGTGATTATTTGGACAGAGTGAGAAAGGATGTAAACAAAAGACCCAGTAACTCAGTAACTTGATTCAGGGGGATAAAATGGAACTAGCCTTTGAATTCCTGGTACATGATTGACCAAGTTATACAAAATTATGCCTCCTTGAGTGTAATCCCCATACAGACTTGGATCACAACTTTTCCCATGTTCCTTGTAGAACAAAGTATGTAGAAAAAGGGCACCATGAGGAGCCCCCATGTGGTGCTTTAACCTGCTGTGCCCTCACCTTGAGAGAAGGACAACTCAGTATTGGACCATATTTCCTGTCAAGGCTTTAGATGGGCCAAGGTATCATCATGAGTTTCTTGACTAGTGTGATTAAGGCATTTGCATTTACCCAGAATTCCCAGTCTTTGCCTACTACAGAAGGACAGCTCCATTTAATTCAATTACAGTAAAGGAAGCTTACAGTAAAGCCTAGGTTACTATTGTTAAGATTCCGTTGCTCCTAAGTGCTATGCACCTTTGCCCATGCAGCCTTTCTCGGAGCAAAAGATACATTGGGCAAGATGTTAGAATGAAGTCAGCTCAACCGCAAGGAACATAAAAAAGATCCTACATACCCTTTGAAAACTTGCACCTGTGTGTTGGCCATATTTTGCAACAAATACAGGACTGGCTTTAGAGATTCACTGATGTTAGGGAGAATAGCTTTTCTCTGGTGAAAAAAGTCCATCTGGCAAAACCAAAGGGAACTGCCTGTGCAAACTAAAAGCACTATTCATTGCGCAGTGCTGGCTTTTCTCGGTGTACTTCTCTGGGTGACTGACCTCCAATTGAGCGACTGAACATTGTTGTGCAGACCTGGTCTTTTCTTCAGACTTTTGGTCCAGCTGTGTGGGGCTCTCAAGAAAAGAATCTGGCAGGTGCATGTCTGCAAAGTTAAGATTTCATGACAATCTGTGCTCAACAAGGGTAATGAAGCCAATTAGGTGGCTTGGAAATGGTATGTGCAGGGAGGGGAAATAAGCCACCGCCACTTACTTCCCCTCCATAATCATGTGAACCCACTTATTCAGCTGCCTGCAGAACATGCTGAAAGACTTCTAGTTGAGAACTGACCTAAACCCTGCACAACCAAACCAAAGCTGGTTTCCTACTGAACCTTTGCTTAGTGCAGCCCTGTGTGATAAGCCATTTCATTTGCTCGGTTCATTTTAGGAGACCACAATGTTTGTTTCACAAATAATGAAAGTGAGCCTAAAGTACTTCAGCTGCACTTTTAGTGGAATAACTACATTTTCATCTGTACGACTATCTATGTTTACGTACCAGTAGAGGACATGGAAATGTATGTGGAGCCTCCAGCCTCCTGAAGCCCTTCTGGTGAAGCCTGCCCCTCCCAACACCACTTGCTATGCTCCATACAAAAAGCAGATGTGACTGCATCCACTTCATTTCACTCCATTTGAGTGAAAACTGATGAAGCCATTATCTTTATTTCTCCTTAACAACTTAATTAAATTGCTTTAATCAGTCACCATTACTAACTGCTCCTCTCAGTGCTGCTGCTGACAGTAAACGTTCTCCCTGGCCTTCTTTGAGTTGTTGGATCATGACCGATCAAGAGCTAGGCTCAGACACGACTGGCGTGGCATGCCAGGCGCTTCCCACTAGCCGGACCTCATGAGTGCATTTTTCCACTCCATTACTCTTCCGTGGATTCAACTTTGTGCCAAGTTCCTAGGGACAGCTCTGCCACTAAGCAGTGTGAGACAAGCACTTCAGGCAACAGATGGTGGGGGTACCAGTAGCTGCCTTCCCACTGTTCCTCCTAAACTATTTGGCTATTTCCTCTGTTGGGAGAAAAAAACCTGCATATGCCACACAACCTGTCCTGGACCCTCTAAACAAGCCTGTTGCCTCAGGTGCGATACAGAACAATCCACCGCTACCAGTGGTGCACACTCAGCTGCCTGTGCAGATGTTTTCTGTAAGTGGAACAGGACGATGGTACCATCTTTGGGCAGCCCCTCAGAGTACACTCCATCAGCCTCCTGTTCAGACATGGTGCCCTCTCTCCTGTCCAGGCATCCCTTTTCATAAATAGGGGTGTTCTTAGGAGATAGGGTCCATTGAAGACACACACGCAAATTAGCATATTTGCATATATACAAATTTGTGCATTACTTTTGTCCTGGGTCTTTTCAGTACTTAGCACCAGACCTGCTGGGGGTTATAGATGGAGATTTTTCGAAAACTAGATTCCAATACTGGTGCAGGTACAATTAGTATCAGCTTTTGGTCTGCCTTCTTATAGGTTACTAATACATACTATCATGCACTATTATGTCAGAGAAGATCAGGTTTACACACTCTGAACTATGATTCAGTGAAGGCAGCCCTTTTATCTTTAGTGATGCATCATGAATAGGTATCTCAAATCTTCCACCTGTGTTTCAAATTCTCCATCATAATTGTGTATGGGCCATATCTTTACACCAACTGTGGAAAACAAAACAGTTGCCTCACCAATGTGGAGCAGTGGAAGGCAGGTGGACACTTCTGCTCCTTTTATTTGTGTTCTGCTGTTTAGGAAGAAAGGAACTTCCCTTGAATAGCTGAACACAAATACGAGACCCTGCATACACCTTCCACTACCCACAAGTCTCAAGGCTAATTCAGAATTGAAACAAACATTTTTAAATGTTTTAACACCTAAATACAAATGAATTGCTTTTGAATATCCATGTGATCCATGGCTTTCCCAAAATAAATGTGAGAAAAGCCTGGAGGGTGTGATTGTTAGAGTGAAGATAATGTGTGACTAGGAAAGGGATGAGTTAATTAAAAATATACTGTAACTGAGGGTGACTGGCAGATTGGCTGGGCTGATAGCCAAAAATGACTACATGTACTCCAGATATACTGAGAAAGCCATTGTCAGGCACACTTTGGAAAATGATGGAATGTAGATTGAGACCAGAGATAAAAGCTGACAATGACATCACTGATCTATTCTTCATCAAGCATGCTAAATTCCTGATGTGAATTGTTAAAAGTTGGCAATAAGAATGGATTGTTTTAAGAGACGTAGATATTTATGGAAGATGTGTATCATTTCATACTCACAAAGACTGAGATCATTTTTGGATATGGCAACAGCATTCTTAAGAGGCTGTGTTTGTAGAGTTTTGTTTTGGTACAAGTGCCCTCATTTACCTGACATGCAACAAAGCAAAAATGCCCGACCTCATTAAAAGTTAGAATAAAATGGAGTTCAACACCACATAGAAATTTCAAACATGCTATAGTTAATGTTCCTGCCCAAACACTCCCCTCCAAGCTAATGGACAAATACAACTAATCTACATAATGAGATTTTTCCTTAGGCATCTCAATCTTTCCTTCTTTCTCTCTCCTAGCCTTTATTTAGGGGAGAGAATTTCTGAATCTCAGACATAAGGTGATCAAAAATATTTGAAATGTAAAATGAAGTTAACATTGTAACTTGTTTTTTTGGGCAAAAGTTAATTGAACGTAAGAAAAGAGAGAAAACTCGTGGGATGTCTAGGCCTTTATAATGCAATTATAATTAAACTTTGTTCGTTTTTAATGAGGTTGTGAAAGATAGTCAATTAACTAGTTAATAAACTAAAACCCTTTTAATCAACAAAAGGTGATCTAATTACTCAGGCAGATTATTTTGGGAAAAAATCATTTCGCTTTTGTTTAATAAAAGAGCTTAAAAGGCTGTGGCCTTAGAATAGGTGCTCCCCACCCTTTCTCTCCTGCATCAAGGAAGGTTTCTCTGCTGTGACATGTGCTTTGCATTCCCTAAAAGCTAATAAAATATGTTTTTACCTCTTCAGAAACAGTATATTCATATGTCAAAAATTATGCGGACTCACATGATAACTTGATTGCCTCAAACTAATCATGAGTCCCTTAAGGTTTATATATCAAGTGACAGTACTTCTTTTAAAGGACATAGAGACAACTGCTGACAGCATAAACTCAGAAAGACAAGTGAAATCTTTGGATATTTCATCCAAACTGTATAAGAAGAAAACTCTAGCAACTAATTTGCTCTATCCTTCTTGCCAAGAAGTTCAACAGGAAGATTCCCAGAAAGGCAAACTCTCTATATGCTGCATAAATAGCTGAAACACTTATAAAGGCTGATAAACTGCTTTATGAAAAGCAACCTAAATGCAAACAGTTGCTTTCTTTACAGGGGCAAGATGCATATACTGTACCTTGCTTATGATGAGGTTCATGCAGCTGAAATAGGATCACCTGGGATCCTATTGAAAAGCAAATTGCTTTTCACCTATTGCTGAAAAGCAAACAGTACAGAATTGTTTGGGTAGCGCACATAAAGGAATGAATGACTGGGAAGGTAGAGAATTCCTAGTCTTTTTATGGGCTTGAGTGACATCAAGAAGCAGATTACATATGGACTCAACATTGCAGAAGAAGGATTTTCTAGTTTCTACATAACACCACAGTTTTCCAGATGACTTAGCTGAGGTGTTGCTTGTATAGTGACATTGTGTTCTCTTTTAAACAAAGAAATATATATTTTACTGCTACAAGAATTACTTTTTGAGGAGTCATTTAAGCGACTGAAATATAGGACTTTCCAGAATGGCCTGCAGTCACAGTGTTACGCATGAGCTCGGAAGTCATGGCATTTGGATATGACAGCTTCTGCAACATGAAAAACCAATTTTATTGTTTTCAAGTTATGATGCTTGGTATGGCCAATATATGTAACTACACTGCCGAAGTTTATGAAGCAGAATTTCCAGTGAGAAGAACAACTTCTGGTGAAGAGCCTAAACATACTGGGACTTTTATTTTGGGAAGGGGTCATTTTAGCCATAGCCTTTTAGACAAGATTCTCATTGCTGCTGGTTGATCCATTTTGAAACATTTTTCTCTGGGTGTATGAACATTTTGGTGTACATTCAACCCAATAACATTGTTTCAGTCTACATATGTGTTTTGCTTGATTATTGTTATAGAAAGGGGGAATGAAAATACTTACAATAATTCTAAAGAAAAAAAAAAGAAAGTAATAGGGGAACTACTCCATGGTCTCCTGAGTATGAAAGCAAGGAAAGAACCCATAATTGAAAAAAGTTTCTCATTAAAAGGATCTTAGCTTGGTTCACACATTGCACTAATCCATAAGCAACTCTCATGGTTTTCTGCTCAATGTCTAACAAATGATTAAAAAACCCCTTTTTAAAAAACAAAACCTCAGGGTTGTTTGTACCCCTCCTTCTTTGTCAGCAACTTCTGTATATCCCATATGCCTTTGTGGTGCTCTACTATTGGACTATGACACCTTTGAATTGTGGTGCTGGAGAAGACTCCTGAGAGTCCCTTGGATTGCAAAGAGATCAAACCAGTCAATCTTAAAGGAAATCAACCCTGACTGCTCTTTGGAAGGTCAGATACTGAAGATGAAACTCAAATACTTTGGCCACCTAATGAGAAGGAACAACTCACTGGAAAAGATCCTGATGCCGGGAACAACTGATGGCAAATGGAGAAAGGGAAAGCAGAGGATGGGGTGGCTGGATGGAGTCACTGGGGCGGTGGGTGTGGGCTTGGGTGGACTCCGAGGGATGGTGGAAGACAGGAAAACCTGGAGGAATGTTGCCCATGGGGTCATGAAGGGTTGGGCATGACTTTGTGAGTAAACAAAAGAAAACCACTACTGGACTTTAGAACAGCTGTTATTTTTGACTGATTCTGCCTGCTGTTTGGTAGCCTGGTGAAAAAAATACCATGATAGTTTAATAAAATTGGTTAAACGCTCCAGAGTTCACAACCCAACAACAAACCAAAGGCATGTAAAATTACATAGATTGGTGGCTTGATCCAGCAGACTGGACCTGGATGAGGCTGCTCACTCTTTTGCTCAGAACATGGGACTCTTTTGGGGTGGGGTGGGGGCTGCTTGAAAAGCACATTCATTTTTCCTTTCCTTTTTTTGTGAGTTTAGTGATGAGCTGGGGAATCTTACAATTATTGTTCTTAACATGAACTATGGATGGAATTGCAAGCATATTTTAGTATTGGGACTGAATAGTTTAACTGACTCACTGATCTATCTCATGTCTACAACTTAAAAGATGGGAGTGGATCCAGGGAAATCAAGCTATTAACAAAGGAAAGTGGTACCAAAAACTTAAGTAGGACAAGAGTCTCTTTAAAAACACAGGGATTTTTGTCTCCTGCTATGAACAAATACTTACACATTTGGACTTTTCATAGGTGGCCAAGCTTGTAGCAACATAACTAAATGCTGAAATTCTGCAGTGTTTTCACTGGTTTCCAAAAGTTTTAGGAAGAGAGCGTACCTCTTTTCTTCATTTTCAATATCAGTTATTTCTACCTAAAAAATAGGAAAGAGCAGCAACATGTCAAATGCAGAATTTAGATTAAATGAGTCATCAAATGGGATAATTTTACCACAAGAAATATGATGCATTCCTCTCCAAAAGAAATATCATCATTGCAAAATACAGAAACAGTCTAAGATGTTCTTAGGAGGCATTTCATTCTGTCTCCTGAACACAGGGACACACAGAGATAATAATATGAAATTATGGAGAGTTATAGTTTCCAAATAACTTGAAATCAAAACAAGCAGATTAATAGAAGAAGGCAAATTATATTTCCACTTAGTCAAATTCCCTAGACATCTACTGATATTTCTCCAGGGCAGGTTCCTAGATATGACACATAACATTTTATTGTAACATTGGATTTTGATTTCCAGAAGGTTGGCCATGTTATTCTGTTGCGGCAGCAAAGAGTTTCTCCTTAAAAACAAACCATTTTATTCTGGCATAAGCTTTTGTGGACATTTTTGATTGTCTGTGACAATTTGCCACCCACTCCACAACATATGTTTATATAAATCTGCAAATTAGAGAGTAACACTTTGGGCATCTGATGAAGCTTCATGAAATCTTATGCCAGAATCTATTTGCTAGTCTTTAAGGTGTGGTAGGACTCCTCAATGTTCTTATAAAAGCTAAAGATCTTATCCTTTGAGATTGAATTATCTATACAGCATCTATATGGAACCCTCTAAAATATTATATCACAGCAAAGGAACATTGCTGAAACACTAAGTGGTATCCAGTGTAAAGCTTGGATTTTAAAAAAGTGGCAACAGTCTGCTGCAGTTATGTGAGAGCAAGTGGAACAACCAGCACAAGCAACACCTAGTGTAATGAAGCCATGGAGAGTCGCAAAAGCCCTTGGCCAGTGGCTTGCATTAGTGGAATAAGCACATTATCTTTGGGCACTTGTGAAGGCATGGAAACGGGGGTTTCCATAAGTGGTGGACGCTTTGTGCTAGCTGAATGGCATCATGGGATTCAATCCTCTTAAAGCAAATGCTAGTGTTTTTCAGTTGTAAACATAGCACTGATTAATTGAAATTGTCTTTCAGAATGCCAGAAGCATTTTAAAGCAGTGCAGTGATCGGTAAACAGGACAGAAAATGGCATGAAGTGAGGGTAAACCAACCAACAACAAAGTTTAAAAGAATAACGTGAGGCCAAAAAAACTTGGAGGCTAAGGTTCCACAGAGAAGCAGGGTTACAGCCTACCCATCTTCATATTTTTGGACTAAACACAGGCCTTTCTATTTTAATTGGCCCAAGTTGTTGTTGTTGTTGTTGTTGTTGTTGTTGTTGTTAGAACATTTCTATGCCGCCCCTTGCCGAAGCCTCGGGGCAGCTTACAACACAATAAAATACAATACAATATAAAAATAACAATATAAAATTAAAATTAATAATATAAAATAAATAAAAAATACAAACGATATAAAAGAAGTTATAAAAGAAAAGAAAAGAAGTCGCCCTGGCCAGATAAATAAGTAAATATTGTTAACAATTAAAATGACGTTTAAATAAAAATGTCTTCACCTGGCGCCGAAAAACAAATAATGACGGCGCCAGGTGGACCTCTCTGGGGAGCACATTCAGTTATACAGGTAATGAGAAAAAAGGTAACAAAAGAAACAGTGCTGGCCTTCAACAGCACACTCCTTGCTCTTCTCTCTCACCAGGACAGTGAAGCAAATATTTTCATAATTCATTATGTACAAACATATTAATCTACCTTATACTGAGTCTACTTATTGAGTAGTCTACTTTAACAACTGTCTACCTCTAATGGCAACAGATTTTTTAAAAAAGATCTTTGGTGGAAGACTTTCTCAGTTTAGCTACTCTTTATTCAAAAGAGTATTAACTGAAACCACTTAATGAAATTTATATTCAGAGTTGGAAACCCAGTCCCATCTGCAAATACCATTTAACTGTGGGGAAAATAAAGAGGCAAAGCAATTTTAAAGTGATCATGGCCCCCTCACCTCACCCCTGCCCCCAACCCTGGAATTATTTGTGGCTTCCCACTTCTTCCCTCTGAAGCTAAATCTAGGGATGGATAGACAGGCAATATCGGCAATTGCTAAGCATTCACCACTCATCATCTTATCACTTGCCTTCTGCCTAATTCCCATTTAGATTCTCTGCTTGCTTTCTGCAAATGGGAAGTTCGCGAAAATTAAGGAGCAGTTGAATGGAAGTTCTGCAAATTTTGGCAAATTTGTGCAGGTTGTGTGAAATCTGTGGAAGTTTCCTAATTTTATCCCTAGACTGAAGTGGTCTGGGTTCAGCCTGAGGGAAAAATGTGCAAGAATCAGAAAATTTCCACACATCAGAATGAGATGAACACATATTAGACCATTTCTGGGCATTTTTTCAGGGACACATTCAGATATTCAAACAAGGCACGCTCACATCTTTTGTGTGTAAAAATGAAATTACAAGTTTTAATCAATATGCGAAGGTCTGGTACACCATTTTGCCAAATAATGCTTCCTATCCAGTACTAGGATTCTGACAGGAAAAAAAAAATCTAACAAGTTTGGTTTTCATTTATAAAATAATGGAGATTCTGGAAAGGTTGGCCTGTTGAGCTAAGTTTGTGGAATGATTTCCCAAGAGAGGGTTGACTGGTTTGTGGCCTTTTTAGCACCAGATGAGGACCTTTTTATTTTCCCAGCCATTTTAATCTTTCAAGTTTCTACTGTTTTAAATCATTCATGAACTTTAAATCTTTATATTGCTGGTGGCTTTTTATTTTACACTGTTCTTTTAAACTTTAGAAGTTTTATATTATTTGCACTAGGCTTCATTCTATGGTTTTATTCATTCTGACCCACCCACAGGGCTTGTACAGTACAGAAATTTGATACACAGATAATTAAAATAAGCAGAGGAATAAATGTCAATGTAAATTATACTCTGGGATCAAACAGGACAAACTCATATGAAAACAAGTGTGATGCAATAGGAAAGGTGTGGTAATTAATTCAGTCAAAGCATCTCTTGTATTTTATTTATTAATCTTAGTGCTCTTGCGTTGTTACAATATATTGTAAAAACTTGCTCACAGGAATTGAGCTGCATCGAGAATAGTAGTAATTGTTTACTGTCAAATAGTGACTTTCATAAATGAATCGATACATAGTATGAATATAATAGGTGGTTGCCATATAAAGCACACTGAAATTATTATACATGAGTAAATATTGTATAACAAATATTTGATGAGAAAAATGATGAAGTAGTAATATGAGTCTTCTTCTGCATATATTTGGCACTAGCTGATTTCGGATCTAACCCAGTGGATCATAGCCGGAAGTGCCAACATTCCGTAAAGTATAGGGTTCCAAGAAAAACTATGTGATTGAGGAATGAAATGGTAACTAACGTTTGGGATAATTTAAAGTTACCTTCCATGTAGGCATGAATGCCGATGTAGCTAAGGATAAAAGAGATGATTCAACAAGTCAAGGCAAAAAAGTAGCATTCTTCACTTAGCAAATCACTGCAAGGCATGTTTCAGTGGTGAAACCTACCTTTTCCAAGAGATATATTTTAGAAGCACTGACATTCATAACAATAGACTGGAATGAGAATGTAGATGCAATATTGCTGCAACATATGGCATGTGGACATCAAGCATTTTCCTTTTGCAGAATTCACAGAAGTTTAGGTAAACTATGTACATTTCTTAAATGCACATAAAACTGCTTCCCTAGCTCATCTACCAAGCCTCAAAACAATGGCAGATTTATTCTCATTGCAGTAAAATCCATGTTAATACATTCAGTACTATATACAAGAAAGTAAGTGTCTCACAAATATTCTTAGGTTCTTGACTACCATGTAAATTTGAATTAATATGGCATTAAAAGCAGAATTGCAAAGGAGGCATTTGAGAGTAGCCCCTTATTGCTTCAATACATTATCAGTCATAGCAAAGCTCTGGAAAAGAAACGCTACATTCAGATTTATTCACAGTGGAAGGGATCTAAAACAACCTGCATTATATGTGCTTTATCTGGGCTAATAAACCTTTTCTGGCAAAATCTCTTGAAAGAGGTGACCCATTTCATCCTGGGTTCCTACTTGGATTTGGGACTGAAGCAGTCTTGGCCATGCTGATGGATGACTTTTATCAAGAGAGGGACAGGAATGTGTGGTCCTGTTGGACTTGCTTGATGTCTTAATAACTTTTGATACCCTTGACCATGTTATCATTCCAAACCATCCCAATGGGTTAGGAATTCAGGGCACCCTACTGCAGTAGTTCTGCTCCTATCAACAGGCTCATTTCCAGATAAATGAGAGACTGAGAGACTGGCATCTAACCATTCCAATTGAGCTAATCAATTCATGGACACTCTATTCCTGGCTTATTGGGACAACCAAACCAGGAATTGCAGGCTGCTGTAGAAGTAGTTTCTATTCCAGGTAGTCTCTCCCTCAATAACTCATGTTTCCAGGTTTGCACATCTAGATAAAACAATCCAGAGATGGAATTCGGCGAATGGGGCGGCATAGAAGTCTCCTAAATAAATAAATAAATAAATAAAATATCCTGCGTTGTTTATTTCCATGTGGCTTCAGTTGGAGTGATCAAGTGGAGAGAACTAGCAGGATCATTTTCCTCCATTCACAATAATTATGTGAATTGGATGTGTTTTTTGGCCCCCTAGAAATCATACAGTGGGGTCAGTTTTTGAAACTTATTAACTTCTTAGCACCATGTGGACGTGAATGGAATTCGTGGTCAGAAATATGGACATCTCTGAGTATGGAACACATTCCACTAAAATGAATGAATTTGACAACCTGCACACATTTGAAAGGTATGCAGAAGCACACTTCAACAAAAGGTGCACGAGTTCAAAAGTGCATGTGTTTAAAATGTGTTATGAGAACATTTTATGAACTCTATATTATAATCGCCAGCTTTTGTGGAAGTAAGATTGAGCTATAACTGTCAACAATCTTGGTGCAATTGAGACTGAGAGACCTGTGTATACCTAGGGTTACAGGGTTTATGTTTCATCCCATTAGAAGGTACTCACCTTAGAAGGTGCTCACATACCTACTAGGAATTTGAATTTCAAGGCACTTTGCATAATCAAGAAATTTTCTCCTTGGAAGGTGATTTACATTTGAATTAGTGTGACATGGGATATGGAAGCTTGGACTAACATGGCCACAATATTCAGAAAAATCAGGGTTCAGAAGGTACTGATGAAATGACAACTGCATTTCTATGCCTTAGGTCATGGCTATATAATGAGTTCTTGGAGAGGGAGGGTGATCGGAAGTTAAGTGCAACAGGGGGATAATGCTTGCAAAGGAATGAGAATCAGGTGAAATCCTTCCTTTCCAGAAGAGGCCGGTCATAGAGTTCTCAGACAGGAGTTCTCCTGACCTGTGCCAATCTATAAACAAGTGTTTCCACTCTTTTCCAGTATATCCTTATGATATGCAGTCATCACTGGGCTACTGGTGGTACCCAGTGATGTAATGGAATGAGATAAAGTGCAGCAACAGTATAAAATATGGGTCAGATGCATCATCTATTTTCTTCTAGCTGTAGCCCTACAGCTATCCATGTAACTGACCGTAGAGGCTGTGAAGCAGAACAGTCTGCATTCCCAACCTTTCAATATCAATAAGGAATACAAAAAAAGGTGACATGAAGCCTATACAATGTTATGAAAAACTCTCTGTCAACTTAGTAAAGAAGACATGCAAGCATTTTTGCCTAGCTCTCTCCAGAGGTCCATTTGATGCTAAGGGAAAGCAAATGTACTCATGGAGACAAAACTTAACATTTGGATTAAGGTAGCATTATAGATTTTTTAAAATCTTTGTACCAATTATACACTTAAAAATAGCAATACTTTCCTTTGGGCTGTGCTGTCAGATCTCCTTCTTTGGAGTTCTGGGTTAAAAGTAGTTCCAGGGCAGATTTTTTGGTCCCCCTAAATATTTATCAAAATTCTTAAACTGTATAATCTTTTCCACGATTATTCCCTTCCACTGGTATTTCATATCTACTTGAACATTTTCTTCATGAATCAATCACATGGGGATCCCAGTAAATAAGGGAACACATACAGGGTAAGATATCCCAGGAGTACATACTCAAATGAGATTTGGCAACATTATGACACTGCTAAATGTGAATGAAGTTAATTTGGAGTGAATGCAAATGCACACATTCCCTGTTCTGAAGCTAAGTTCTCAGAATCTTGAGAAGTTTTGTTTTTTTGGGGGGTTTTTTATGCTGGCAAGAATGCTTGTGAAAAGTACCACATGTCTCATGAAAACACTTCTCTGCGGAAATTGCTGTTCCTGGAATGCTACCTTTATTCCCAGAGGTATACTTAACATCATCAGTGAATGAATGATCAAGTGCAGTGCAAAATACTCTGCCTCATAATGGCAGAAAACAACAAATCAGACCCAGTTTTAGTAAAGGACAGTACAGTTATATGTGTTTTTAATCTTACAAATTGGGTGTTGCAAGGAGAATGCCAATAATTTGAAGTACGTTTTTAATGCTCTGGTTAACTAGAAAATTGCAGAACCTGAAGCGCTCAGATAAAATGTATCAAGAGGATTAAAAACAACACATCTCACCTTCTAACTCACCAGTTAGCCCTCCTCCCTTGAGTCCCCCAGTGAGATGCCATTGGAATATGAATTAAGGCCCATCAAGCCTTTGAAAAATGAGGACATCTGAATTTTTAATTTTGTTAACTAATCATTAGAGAACTGGAAATTGCTGCACTTCCAACTGTGAGATAGGTGGCTGCCTCCATAAAGCACATTTTTAATTTTGCACAAGCTGGCCTGTTTCCCAGCAGTACACTGATTTGTGGGGCCACTGCCTTATAGCACCTAAAGCATAATTAAATATTAAGTCCCACTCTGAAATATGCAAAGCCCAACTAAGAGGATTACTTAGACACACCAAGGGTGGCTTTCACACACATTCTGGTAATTGAACATTGCAATATCATTAAAATTATCTTTACACAATAAGAATCCACATCCATCATTGGCATTATCTGAACTCCCTTTAGGTGCTGGGAGAGAAATGATGGAGGGGAAGGGGTGGGAAGGACTATGCTGTTCGAAAGTGATGCCAAAACAGGGCAATGAAAAGGAGAAAATAACTCCTTTACCATGCTTAATGTCAATACAAAGCTATAATTAATGATCACCTTCCCTTCCTCTTCAAGTATAAGTTAACCTGGAAAGCCTAAATAATAATAAGCAACCATAATAAAAAAACTACCAACATTTAACTGCTATGACATAGCAGCACGTCTTCTCAAAGTTCAGAGACAGAAACATTTTTACTCCAGATCTCAAAAGTTTTTCTATATGAAAAGTTGTTGTTGTTGTTTCATGCTTGTGTAGCTCTCATATCAAGGGTCATTGAAAACAATATATTCAACTCTGCATTGGTCATTGGATTAATTATGAAGTTTTTCACTGTTTCAAACAAAGCCAATCTGGCATCCCAGATTTTATTTCTAAAGCAATGTTCTCTGTGAAACCTTGGTCCAAAAGCTCAAAATAATTCATCATGATCATAACAGTTCAATATCTCAAAAGAGTTAAATCTATCACATAGACTGACAAGCAGTGTAAGGCAAAGGTTCCACACTGAACAACATCACAAGGACTCCTGATGCTACCCCATAATCCCCACGTCACAAAATCAGGCAGCCTTTTTGGGCAGTGCACATACTGGGCAATTTGAGAAATTGTTCTGGGTATCATTGCAAATAGTTTGCCATGGCAGGTGTGGCCAAGGGGGACCTACCTGCCCCAAGAACAGAGTGCAAGGGAGAGGCGGGGCTTGAGCCACAACACACCAAACAACTCCTTTTGAACCCCCAGTCTTCAGCACGAACAGAAATTGATTTCATATCAACAGCAGCCATTAGTAAGATAGTAGGGGTTTTTGTTTGTTTTAAGGTGGGAAAAGTAGGAAATCTTGGTGGACATTAGTGTCTGATGCCCACCTGTGCGGTATTAGGTTCGGAATAGATTGGACACTGATGGGGTGAGTGGTGGGGGAAAGATTTAAGTCCTACATTATCAATACAACATTCCATTTAATCCTAGCACTTTCAGCCCCACACCTCCACTGCACAATACAGCTTTCTCCAGCATGGTACCATTCTAACATTTTGGAGTGCAGCTCCCATCGACCCCACACAGTATGGCCAGCAGTTAATGCTGAAGGAAATTGTAGTCATTTATCTGGAAGTCACCATCCTGAAGAAGGCCACCATAAACAGTAGCTGGAGGTTCTTTGGACAGTACAAAGAAACAGGAGAAGAGGAAGTTCAGGCTCTCACAAACATTTTGGCCTTAGAACATTCCTCTGAGAAATTTCTACCTTCTGGGCATCCTCAATCTGGCACCAATAATCTGTACCAAATTCACATATTCTTTTTCATGCAGCAAGCACCCAGATTCACATTTTAATGTTGTTTAATGTTATAGTTCCATCTAATAGCGTATTTATAAACTGCAGCTTTAATTTATAGCTTTAAAAAAACCCCTTGAGAATCATTTAACAGGATATACATTTGTTAGAAACATGTCCCTTCAGAAGGAAAAAAGTCAACACAAGCGAGTCAGTCGTTGCCCACTAAGCCAAATAAGAAACTCTTTACATATTGCCATCATTCTCAAACTGTTCAATGAAGGCTTGACAATGACCATTTCTGAAGACGAGAAACTTGCACTTTCAAGACAGTGAGGTTAAAATGGGAAGCTCTACCATGCCTGCTCACCTGAGTCTGTGGCCAACAGGCTTTGAGGACAGCTTGAGTTCTGAAGAGCACCAGCAACTTACTGTCCTCATCACTGAGGTGGAAGGCTTGCTCCAAGATCTGCAGCACGGTAATGCGGGGCTTCACTGGCAAGGAATCATCCCCACAGAAAGGTCTCAGCCAAGCCAAGAGATCTTCTGAAGAGACAAGGTTCTCCCTGCAATTTAATCAATGGCACATCTCTTAATAATGTTTAACACTCTCATCAATTATTTTACTACAATATTTAATGGATTCTACTTGTAAGGACCTAGCAGTTTTTGCACTCATGTGTTGCTGTTCCCAATGCTTCAGTAGAATATGAACATATCCAAAACATCTTTAATGAAAAATTCAAAAAAGTAGGTATTATCAAGACAGCAAAATGTATTCATATGGAGGAAAAAAGAACAACAAAAATGGTCATATATTGATGTTAAAAAGTTCATCTTAGAAATACATAAACAGGAAATATTTCCAACATACTGAACATCTAAAATGACTCCAGTAAATTAAAAGTGCTAAGCCAGATATAGTGCAAGATAAAGCAAGACATTAACCACTGAGCTCCATTTTCTATGTTTTATCTTTAAATGGTTACACAAAAAGACATACCCCACTGATGAAGAAACGGGTCTGTAAACCATCGGTATGATACCGAGCATTTTTGAATGTCAGCTCTGGTTTTTTAAAACAAAGGATTTTGATTTGCTCACATTGTAAAACTTCTTTGGAAATGAAGGATATGGTGGGGTAGTTGGATTATAGAAAGCCCATTGTGAATCTCAAAAACTTTAGCCCAGATACTGCATTTTGGAAAACAAAAATTTCACTTCAGAACTGCTACTCCTTAAGACTTGTGTGCACACTTTCTACAAAGATGATCCCAGATTCACCATCACTGGCATCTCCAATTTAAAAAGTTTCAAGTAGCAGTGATGTAAGGGCATTTTGCCTGGGACTTTGAGGAATTCAGCCATGGTGGGTTATTATTGTGGGTGGCTGCAGAGTGGCTTAGCAAGACTGCCTAAGGCAGAGGAATATCCCATTGTGGGTAGTTTTGCGCAAACAAGTCACTCTGAGAACTCAGGGCTTCGAATACAATAGTTTAGAGTGGATTGTCCACAGAGTGGCTCAGTGGTTCATCCACACGTGGCAGGGTAATCTTTCTGGTGCTAATGGCTAAACAATCACCTGCCAAGTACAGCAAAAACCCCAGATGCTGCTTGCTAACTTGCTAATGCAACCATCATTCTCTCCCATTTTTTTTTCAGACCTAAGATGGATTTTTAAAATGTTTCTGTAGTAATCTTGAAGAAAGGAAACTGGAACACATTCGTAATTTTGAAAATGTTCAGTCCTTTGCAAATGTACAGGAGTAAATGACAGCTGTTAGCAATTTTATGTAATTTTTCCCTTCTGTTGAACAACTGCTATGAAGTACTTTCTTTCTTCCTGTAACCACAAGCATGATGTGTCAGCCCTAAACAGGACAGTTATCATATTATCTGTTCAGATTTTCCACTTGCTTTCTAGGAAAACTAGCTTTGTTATAAAGTGTGGCTGGTTTTTCCTTAGAGAGAGCTCTCTAAATGTGGTCTTACACGGAATCAAATTATTTTGATCTTGTGAGAACAAGAATGCCCCAGGCCACTCTATGGCAAAAACAAAGTTTGCCAGCATCTGTTTGTTTTTCTGTTAAGGCTGGGTACACCGGTCCTATTAAACTCTCCCTCTTGTATTTGTATTTTCTTTTAAAAGAGCATATAGTCCAATTGACTTTAATGACCCTAACTGTAATTTGTCATCATAATCTAGTCTTGAGGCTTATGTTACCACACTGGAATTACATTGCTTATAGATAACGGGGCATTACATTACTTACAGATAACATGGTTCCTTTATTATTTATTTCCCGCCTTCCTCCCACTGTGGAATGCAAGGTGACTGCATGCTGTCCCCAAGTGGTCTCCCCTCCAAGCTCAGGCCGGCCCCAGACCTGCTTAGCGTCACCTTGGCAGATGCTTTATGTGCCTTCAAATGTCCCAAAAGTTCTTAGGGATCCCAGCTCTCCATAAGAGAGGACATAATACTCCATGTGGCAGCCAGCAGCTGAAGTGAAGGGAGATGAAGGGTACTTTAAATGTTCCCCTAAACCCGCAGCTGATCTGAGAACTCAAGGAAGATCTGAAGTCTTACCCTTATACACAAAGAAGAGGCAATTCCACCAGGCATGAGAAATTGTTCTGAATGCTGTCTTAATATTCTAATCCCTCACACTCACCTCTTCAAATGAATCTCAAAGGCTACACTTGTGCAAGTGGAATTCATAGCACTTTGCTTTTGTGGACAAATATAGAACATAGACACAAGTCAGATCTATACATTCTTATAGAGACAGCGATCCCAGCTTCACAAACTACATCAGCTTTAGAGACATAAAGGAAAAAAAATCTGGAGATTTTAAAGCAATGGAATTCCCCATTTTTCATATTTTTCCAGGAAAAAAGAGGATTTTTATGTTGGGGGGGAGGGGATGAAAAAGTTCCAAGATCGGCACCCTGAACAATATTGACACCTTTCAAAGTCACTTTATTCCTTTAGGGACATAAAAATAATTTGAATATTTGGTTTTGGCATGACATTATCACATATGGCCTAAGTACACTTTACTGTAATTGCATACTAAATGTTGGAAGCTGGGGTTTCACCTTCACACAGTCAAAAGCCACAGACCCCTTTCCTTGCAAAGTGTTCTGTATTGACCAAAAAGCACAAAATCTCTAAGTGTGCACAGAGCAGTCTGTTTGACCCAGCCTGTAATCACCGCCAGGAATTCACTTTCTGAGCATACCTGGGCCCCATTCCTTTGGGAAGGGCCTTCTGCAAGCGAGCATGCCTCCTCTGCGTGGGCCGATCCTCTAATTGTGCTGCCGACATTATGGGGTCAAGAGCTTGGGCCACCTCATCGGAGTCTGAGAAAATCTCGTCTTCCAAGTCCCCTCCCACCAAATGTACACTGACTGCCTGCCCACCTGGGGAGTCTGGCCTTGAGATGAGGTCTCCACTTCTCTCAACTCAGTGTCTCAACATGGACCACATTCCAGTTTGGATTCAGATTCTGATTCTGATTCCTGGGAAACCCAGCCAGCAGTCCCTGAAAATAAGCACCCAAAGCAACCATCTTTCTCACTCCCAGCACTAAATGTACTCTGGAAAAAAATTTTTTGTTTGTGGCCCAAGCTGTAAGGGGCACCAGAACTGCAAGAAACCTCCATGGCTTTTCCAGTTTATGAAAAGAAAATTATGTTTCTTCTAGTGCTCTCCCCATGTAGACATGAAGTACTCATTTCCATTAAAAGAAGTGGTTGACAAGACTCAGTGAATGTACATGCATTTAATCGGACTCTTTTTCTGAGTTACTGCAATCACTTTTGGTTTCTACTTCATCTCTGTCTTCATCACACCTACCACATACTTCTAAAAAAAAAAGGTTTGCCTAAAATAAGCTTCTCTAGTGTTTCACATGCCAGCTTATTTCTTGATTTGTTGTCAGTTCAGTTTCTTTCACATGCTGCAAAAGATGGGGAATTTGAAGCAGTTTGAAAGCAAAATGAGTCAGGCATTGCACCATGTTACAGGTGGAATATCTTTGGCTGAATCCCAAACTACATTCCCGGACCAAATCCTTGAAGATTTCTTTATGTGGCAATATTTCAATGTACCTTTCCAACATTACTTCCCCAGTGCATTGCATATTTTGTGATGCAGTCAAAAGCAGCAGCAGTGCAATTGTCCCATTTTTGTCTTTGAATCTCAGATTCAACAGATTTTCAGCTTCCTGCATTGGATGACAACAAACTTCCTATTTTTAATACAATGTTTCACTTTAGTTTCTTCTGCACTTGTATGTGGAGATACACGTAGATTCTCAAAAATAGTTATTTTTATATTGCCTATTTTACAGTCATCTGGACTTCTTCAACTGAAGCCAGAAGACATTCACGTAAAGTACAGTATGCCTTACACTTCTGGGTACTCTAAAATCCTCAATGATTGCTTCCTTTGAACAGCTTTGCTGTTGTTTTTAGTATACTTTCAAAAGACATCACTCTATCAAGTTTTACTACAGAGCTTCAGTGTCACTATTTTATTCTTCTTGCAGCTTCTTGAGAACAGCAGCTACAATATGTGTAGCTTCAACTTGTTTTAAAATTTCTTTTGCTCATCTTCAGTGCTTCAGAGGGAGTCCATTTCATGATATCATTAAGAAACTAGGTTAGTCCATGACATGCTAATTCTATTACATTGATGTACGGATATTAATCCACTATGCCACTTTCATATTACTTGTATTGTCAGTCCACAAAGCAAATACTTTACAAAAACCAATTTTCTGGAGGACTTGACATATTTTACCTCTAAAATACTCTTAAGTATGTTGGTGATATCCTGTTTCAATGCTTCTTTGTGCATCTGGTTGAAGTGTTGCTATTACAAAGTTTCTGATGCTTTTTCCCCTCACATTTGTCCAGCCAGCTGTAGATACTACAAACTGTATTCCGTAGCACATTCCTATATGGATGCTAAAGAGACTTTCTGAAAGAATGTCTGCTGGGTAAGCAGTACAATGGTCTTAGTAATTCAAAAGCTTCCTGTTGGTATGATTTTTAGTTACTGGCACTGGTGCTCCAGAAGATTACAATGTACCTGCAAGTGCCTGGTCATTTTTTCCCCTGATCTTCAGCTGTCATGTCATAAGGGTGCTGATTACTTCAGGGATGCAGTTGGTTGCAAGGTGAATTTGCCTGAGGATGTTGTTGCTGATGGGGAAACTTTGTGATGATGCTTGTGTTACAGAAGGTCAGAAATAGGACTTCTGGAATGGAAATGTTGTGCAAAGCTACGTGCACTTCCATCGTATAGGTCTCCTCATTTAGATTCATTAAGGGTTTTTAATGTCTGGACGATGCTTCTTACATGATACAAAGATATTTGTCATCCCAGTGTCATCAGCACATACGTTCTCTTTTCTCTTCCTGGCAGATCAAAGCAAAAGGCTTCTAACTACAGTCCTTTATGGAGCTGGGCTGGCCAGTTTGCACTTGCTCTGGAATATAGAGTGTTATATAAAAGTCATTAACAAGGAGCATCCTTCAAGTTAATAATCTCTCTAAC